ATATTTTATAAATATAAAATTTTAATAAAATACTTTTTAAATTATATTATATTATTTGGTTCTATAAGTGTGATATAGATGAAGATTTATTTTTTTGATTCTTGAAAATATATTAAGAAAAGTTTATTACAGATGCCAGTATGTATTTGTTATTTGGAAATATATTTTACCCATATAATAAAGCTTTGTAATTTGATTATCTTTTAGATTGTAATACAAATCACTCTTCCTATAGTGAAGTAATCTGTTTCAATAATAAAATTTTTTAAAAATTCTTAAATACACTATAATAATCCTACATTATTTATACATTCATAATAACGTGACCTATTGAAATCTCTAGATGTTCTGATTGGCTTGTTTAATTTCACGGGGAGCTTTCAGAATGTGGAGGGAGAACGTTTACCTAAACTAATGACCGCATTTTTAATTACGTATTGTATTACAACCTTATTCGTAGCACTAACTTTATTGCTAGTACGTACAGTATAAATAAATAAATACAGTATTATGTGGTCATAAGTATTGTTACATAATTATCTTTGAAATACGAAAAAATTTTTTTTTCGAATCTAGCCACAATACTTTAAATAAAAATGATGATTAGTGACATATTATCTGTTTTTGCAAAGCCTATAACTCCTTTAGATACGCAAAACATAAAGGTAGTCATCGTTGATAATGATGGAAATGAACGAAAATCAATTATATTGAATGAATTGGATAAACAGGCATCTCTAACAGATACTCGAAAAAAACTATCTTTGAATGATGAGATATTAATGAGTAGACAAAACTCTTATTTTTGGAATGACAATTTTAAGAACAGAATATTATCACAAGACGATGAAAATAACTGTACTCTCCAAGACATCTTGATTCCAAAGACGGATTATTACAATTTAAATGTTGCAGTAGATTCATCAAAACCAAATTTTTTAGAAATTTCTAAAAGACTTCAACTAAATAAAGGACGTAAAACTCGCGATAATAGCGAAAATACTTATGTAACGGCAAATAAATCAGCATTCACTATTAATAATCCACATATGGTAAATGTGAATCTTCAGAGTAAGTTTGAGAGGGTTCATTATCGAGGGATGGAAGAATATATAAAGACATGTTATGAACTAGGATCTGTTCGATTGTCACGTAAAGACTTGACACCCACTGAGGGATATATTAGAGCTATTGAAGAAGCATTGGATGAAAGTAAAAATAATGAAAAAAGGAG